TCTTGCATCAGGGCTCGAGGAATGACGACGAGAGTGTCTTTCTTCAGGTAGTGTGTGCGTAGTACGCGACTGCAGGCAGACGCCAGGGTCAGACTCTTCTCAAAGGGGTCGATGCCCGTGTCCATGAGGAATATCTCGCGAAATACACCACAACATCGGCGCAAGACATCCACATCGCTGTGGCAGTAGGCCAAAATTTCCTGACGAAAATCAAAGACGTCGTGACTGTGCTGTTCGTACCACTCGTGAAATTTCTCTCGTTCCGACACACTCATACCATCTGGATCGTAATCGGTGTCGGGAGGATAGGCGCCCACGTAATTTTCATTCTCCGGTCTGTTAAAGTGGTGACGGAAATAACCTTTGTTGAGATCTTGCAGGCCGAAGGTCTTGGGCATGTCCCGTAAAGGCATGGGTAGAAAGTTGAGGGAATCGATGAATTTTACCGTGCCGACAGTGATCGTCATTGCTTTACCACCGTTCATAATTACTTCGGGTTGCGCCACGGAATGTTTGTGCAGCGTCTGTAAAATCAGCAGTCCGTCGTAACCTTTGAAATTGTGCGCCACGGCGACCACGGGACTCGATTCGTGACTGTCATTTTTCCGACCATCTACCACCGTACCGTGAGCAGCGAGTTGTAAAAACCATTTTCCCACATCGTCCAGCGTGTCTTGACCTTTAAAAACAATTTCCCGTTGGTGATTCCAATATTGGTCGCAGTGCTAGCAGGGTTCTTGGTTGTCGAGACAAAAGTGACAGCACACTTGCAGAACACATAGGTTGGGAATGTGTTCACCGGAATCTTGCTGGCATTCAAAGTCAAAGAAGACGAAGCGGGTCAAAGTTGTTTTCTGCTGTTTGTCTTCCTGTCTCCGTTCATGTCGATGGGTGATTTTAGCGGTTGAATGTAACAAAACTGTTTTTCGGCCGTGTGCCACTCTCGGCAGATGTTGCACTGGTATTCTCCGCATCGATGTTCTTCCAAATTTCGCTTGGCTTTGATGACGTCCCACTCCTTTTGACATTTTTCGCATTTCTTCCACCGGTGACATATACTGCACTTGGCTCTAGAACGGGTAGCGAGATGGTTGTCGAAACACTGTCGGCTCATAAACACGCGATGACATCGGTAACAAGTCTTTGTATTGGGATCGGGTGGACAGGGTGGACCTACTTTCTTGCAACCTTGACACATGACGTGACACGAATGTTTCTCGGCACTATGGTATCCCACCTGACAGGTCTCGCAAAAATACGACCTTTCCACAAAGGCGGGCATGGAGGTAATGACGTCGTAATGTCTGCTGTGTAAATACAGGTTCAGATGTTTTGGTGTTCCGGTGACGTATTTTGTTCCACGATAGATCGCCTTACCAAAGATGGCTTGAGAGAAAACGTTGAGTTGGTATCCTTGTTGGCCCAAATACTTGGCATACAGTCCCCACGTTTCCATCCCCGTGCAGGCTGCCCTGGTTCCACCAACGGCCTCGATGAGGGCTTCCGTTTTTTTCGTCTGCCATGTTCGGGGACCTGTGTTGTTGACTAATCTCTTCCTTTCTCTTTCCCGTTCAGGTGTGTCCTGTTTGTTCGCATAGTGACGAGCGACGACAATAGCTCGCTGAAAACATAATTCGTCGGCATTTTTAATGGTGACGAGGCATCTCTTTTTCTTCAAATACTCGTCGAAATTAGCGCAGTGTCTCTTCTTCACGTTTGTTTTACCGCTACCTCTGCCATCCGGAAGGGACACGTGACAGATATTCATAGACATGCGCTGATCCAGTCGAAATTCTTCATTACTCTGTAATACGGCAGCCACTTTCTGTAAAAGGTCTTCGGCTTTTAACAAACGATGCTCACGAAACGGTAACCAAATAGGTGATTTGAGTCCTGGGTGACTGATGGCGATTCTAACATAGTCACTTTCTCTAGCGTCCAAGGTTTGGCGAATTTCCTCAATGATGGCCTCAAAGGTGTCGTGTAATTGCTGTGGTACATCTACGGCCGGAACGTGGGACCAATCCTCCAAAAAGTCTATGTCCACACATAGTGATTCGGTTCTAAACAATCTACTGTATCTTCTGTCGACGGGTCGTAATGAAAAACTCATCTTGCTCTGTTCGGTGATAGCATGAAAGTGTCAGAACCTATCGCGCCGCTCCCTTTTATCCCCCTTATGCCGTGACGTCATCAAACGTTCGATATCGTACACCTCACGTGATATAACGTTGCACATGCGTTGTATAACGTTGCATCACGTCTATATTTAGCCTTCAATGTACACTCTACGATGTATAACGTTGCATCACGTTATCCTAAGCGCCGTGACGTCACTATGAATGGACTCGTTTGTGACGTCATACCCCTCAAATGGATTCGTCCTATGACGTCACTCCATGAATGGGCTCGTCTGTCAAATGGATTCGTCCTTACGGTAATAAAACGACACAACACCCATCTCTCAGTATCAGAATGGGTGACGGCGCTCCGATCATCCGCCTCGAAGAAAACCCCAGCGTAGATACCCTCGTGTATCTCAGGGGTAATACTCTTGCCGTGATTACCCCTGACGATATCTTCGTCTTACCTGGCGAGGTATTAAAAACACCTCCCAGGAAAAGACCCCCTCCCGAATTAGTGGAGACCATCAGACGCAACCGACATAAAGTGCGTCGTACCCTCGCATTCTAGTGAGAACAACGGCCCTTTTCAGGGCCAACTTATGCAATGTAAAAAGAGTTGTTTCCCTTTCCTTTGGTCTTCCCCTTCTTCTCCCTTCTACTCTCTCTCTCTCTCCCGCGCGCGCGCCCCTCTCTTTTCTGGGTCACGCACGTGCAGGGGGTCACACACGTGCAAGGTCACGCACCTGCAAGGGGTCACGCACCTGCAAGGGGTCATTCAGTGCAAGGTCACGCACCTGCAAGGTCACGTGCACGCACATGCGTCCACGCACGCGCAAAAAATGACTATAAACCCTTCCTAACTACTATAGGCCTATGATTTAGAATAACATACGGTTCCCAGTTTTATTATAGGCCTCTGGCATACAAATACTCACACTGTTTTTTTATGAGGAATTAGAAATTGGATATGATTTTTTCTTTTTGGTAGATTCTCCACAATAATTATTGTGGATCAGCTTGATTATATAATTACCACTAATGCTGTTGAATCACATTTTCCATTCCATAACCTAAGGGAAAACTATTTCTTCTTTGGTGCGGTGTGATATGAATTTAGTCAAATCTTTTTCCGTCTTTAACTCATTTCAGAAAATGAAGAATATATATGCCTTCCGTACCTTCCCCAGATTTCTTTCTCATTATTGACACGCAATTTTATTTTCTCAGAAGCTTAAAAAATATTTTATCCTATAAACAATTAATTTTTTAGTGTACATCTGCTTGAATGTTTGAAATTATAAGTTAATTATGAAATAATTTTGAAAATTAGTTTTTAAAATTGTGCAATAGTTTTGAAAATTAATTTTTAAAATTGTGCAATAGTTCTGAAAATTAATTTTTAATATTAGAAAATCAAGTTTAAAATTCAAATTACAAAGAGCGCCCCCCCCCCCCCCAAAAAAAAAAAACAAAAAAAAAAAACAAAAAAAAAACAAACAAAACAAACAAATAGAAAAAAAAGAAGAAAAACAACAAGGAACTTAATGGGTTTTGATACTTATATAAAATTCAACCATTTAGAAATCTAAAACTATGAATTTACCCACAAAAATACTCTGACAGCAAATATTTAAAAATCTAAAACTATGAATTTATCCACAAAAAAAAATACTTTAAAAAACAAGTAAGTCAAAAAAAGAGTGACGTATTACCGATAAGCATTTGGTTTCCATCCACTGGAGCCAGGTGTTATGCGCATGTGCTATACTATTGGCAGAAATTGATGACACCCACTATTTGACTTCAGACCCCCTCATGCGTCACTCTTTTTCTGACTTATAATTGCTGTAGTATTTTTTGTGGGTAAATTCATAGTTTTAGATTTTTAAATATTTGCTGTCAAGTATTTTTGTGGGCAAATTCATAGTTTTAGATTTTTAAATGATTGAATTTTAAATAATTATGAAAACCCATCAAGTACGAACTGTTTCTTGTATTTCTTCATTTCATATCAGTAGTGGGAATTAACAGTTACTGTTAAGTTGGTTACGAAAAAGAGCACTAGTCATGGAAAGACAACTGTTTGTATAGACCAGGTTGGCGGCTAAGCCAGCGGGAAAGCTCACCAAATATTTCTACGCCGTCACCCAATGTAGGGCGAAAGTTATTTTAAGTCTTTCTCTCCCTTTCCCTTTTTTCCCCTTTTGCATGGCGATTTTTGTTGACTTTTTGGTGTAGAATCGAAGAAAAGGGTTTGAAAATACATTTTCTACCAGGTTTTGGTGAATATTCATAATTTTGAGGCGAAAGGATACAAGAGTTGAGAGGTTGGTCAGGTTGAAATGTAGGGTCCAAAATTGCATGTTTTCTTGTCTCTACTTCCAGCTTGTGTATCTCAAGTTTTCCATGGTGAACCTCATACGTGCTTTTGGGAAAGAGGTTGCCACATGTTGCTCCATCTGTGGTAGATAGCGTTCTATACCCAACGAAAATTTGGGAAAAAGTTAGGGCCGGTCTAAGAGTCGAGAAGTAACATTAAAGTCAATGCCACAATGGGCAAATCTTTAGTGACCTGTGGCCAGCTGCATGCTTTAATAATATCAGAATAAATTGACATTAAGATAGAACTACATATCTAGTTACAAAGGCGGGAACTATTGTTGTAGGACATTTAATATAATAATAAGTTAGGGAAAATAACGACAAAAAGAATAGGGACCTACACAACCATTATTAACAAAGACAGTGAATATCAATCTATTTAATTTATGTTTAAAAATTTAATGTCATGTCATGTATTATTTCTGTAATTGTTTTAATTGCCTTGTTCTGTGTTGCTGCTGGCTCTTCTTTTTCTTTTCAGGTAACTGTTATCTGCGGAGAGCCATACGCAAGAAAAACACTACTAGAATGCTTTTAACTTTTAATCGATGACGCTGTGAACCGTATTAAAGGACTTTTAACTAACTTTTAATCATATCAAACTTATTGAACGAACAGTTATTAATATGTAAGTAATCCACGGCCCAGCTATGTGTTTTTTACTGCTAGCATTTCACTTTTTCCCATAACGCAAGCGGATTCTTTTTCCCCACGTTTTTTTTTCTATCCGAACTGATATTGCCAAACATCAGTCAGCTGGACCTCCTGTTTTAACCTATTTTTTATTATGACAAAGGGAAAAAATGACCCGTCCTCTCTTCTCACCACAGCGATTTTATAAGTGTGTTTTAAATTGACTTTTTGATATACAGGGACTTTTTATTTTGTGGTTTTACCAATTTTAAGGTGACTTCTGATATACACAGACGTTTTTATTTTGTGTTTTTACCAATTTTCAACCCATTTTAAAGTATAAATGATTTAATTAAATCAACCAAGAACGTCCCCCCTGATATGAGACTATGTGCACTCTGTTCCCTCTTTAAAGCAGAAACCGAATTTCACTTTTTAATTGAATGTCCACACTATTAATCTCTTAGGCTAAATATTCTTTCTGCTATATTCAGTAACCACAATTTGGCCATAGCGTTTGAAAATCTATTTGACCCTCACCCTTCAGTTTCTGTGAGTGATGTCATTATATATATAAAGCATTTCAAAGTAGAAATCAAGCCTCGACCTAATAAGGTATTACAAGGCAAAATTTCACATTTTATTTTTTATCTTTTTAACATCTATACATTTTTGAAATAATGTTTCTGATATATATTTTCACTTTTAACATGAACCTATGTATTTTATGTTTCGTATTTTTATAAAATGTATATTGCTATTTATTTTATGTTCCTTATGTCATGTATATGAATTGTATGCGGCCTGAAATGGGTGTTATGATACAATAAAATCTTATCTTATCTTATCTTATCTTCTCTTACCTGTCCATAATTATATTTAATGTATTGGACGTTAAATCTATACTAATATTTGTGACTGTCGTTTGTCTGTCTGCCTGTCTGTTCGGGGTTGACGGCTACACTAGGTCTGCCCCGAGTCTGAAATTTGGGGTTTAGGGGTAGCTCGGACCGGGGAGTAACATAATCCAGGTGGCGTTAGTCTACCACTTCCGGTTTCGAAGTTATGACCCCCGGGCTGTTCGGGGTTGGCGCCTACACTAGGTCTGCCCCGAGTCTGAAATTTGGGGTATAGGGGTAGCTCGGACCGGGGAGTAACATAGGCCAGGTGGCGTTAGTCTACCACTTCCGGTTTCGGAGTTATGACCCCGAGCGAAGCCGGGTATCCTGCTAGTCTTTAATAAACAACAACAACGATTGACATATTGATAGGGAGAGGTAAAACACTTTGTCTCAATTCTCTCCTTGAGTCCTTTCCCCACCCCCAGATGATAGGTATTGGACCTCTAAGCTTATCTGGGATTTTATTGAGAAAATAGGTATGACAAATCGCATATAATGATATGCAAAACAAAAGCCAGATAGTACGCAAAAACGTCCCCCCCCCCCTCCCACCACCGGAAGCCTTATTAGACGAAACCAAAACCACTGTGATAAGTGCTGGATTCTTCTTTCAGAGAACCAATTATAACAAAAGGAACGAACAAACAGAAGTAAAGCTGAGATCAACTATTTGAAGGTATTATTAAAACATGCTTAACTTATCTGTGTTTAATTGAAATCTTATCTGGAATCTTTTATATTTATAATCGTATGTATGTACTTATTATTTATTATGTATTTATTATGTACTTCTGTTTGAAAATCTTCAGAATTGGAGGAAATAAAGATATATATATATATTACAAATAATACAAGCTAGCATGTATTACAAATAACTAAATATTTTTCACCATAAAATCAATTCTGTCTATTTATCACCATGCATTTCAGGCTACATATAATAAAAAGATTTAAATTATTTGAAATAAAACCCAATGTTTCGGGTAAAATGTAAAAAACCCTAGTTTTCAGTAATGGATTCGTCCAGCATCGGAGTTTATAAATATACCCATCATGCAACACTAACTAAACTTAACAATGACGTCAACAAGTAAAGGGTAGGTAGAATGTCAAATACTTTGTTTAGTCACGACGGCTTTGGCTTTCTGAACTATTCGTTTTTATCGGGATATATTTTTGGATTAGTGATGTAGTAACAGGATAGTGTAAATTTTTATAATATTTGAGGTTCTGTTTATTATATTTTGACAACATAATTTTTGCGTGGCGGTTTCCATTTCAGTAGTCATTAATGGCGATTGACTCGTTATTGTGAACGAAGCCAATCAAATGAACAGATAGCAGGTCACGTGTTAATAAAGTGGTCGCGTTGATTGTGCGTATATCAGTAGGTGGGGAAGGGTTTGAAACGTTATCGTGTGAGGTAATTTTTCCGGGATCAAACGAATTTGTTGATAGCATTATCTTTTGGGGCACTTACAGATCTACGACCGCTTCCCCCAACCAAACAGAATCGAGATATTGTAGGCTAATGATATGATGCCTAATAATATAATATTCTTTGGAAATATCAAAATATGACAATAGGAGCTTTTACGCGTGACATACTTCCGGTGTCTATTTTTAACATGGTAAATGCCACACTGATCCACAGTGAATATTTGCTTGGCCGCGACAATCACTGATAAGGATGACATTGATGCGGCTTAATGAGCTAGAAATATTACTGTCTGATTCATCGTAAATTTTAAACGGATTTCTTCGATTATGAACAAACTACTTAACGTTGGTTATTATAAACTTACCTGTGTGTTTGTAATGAACTCCCGTTCGATAAAATCCATTGCACAACTAATTATCACAACGATGAAAACAAGTTCTCTCTTGAAAAATTGAAATATCACAAACTTTTCCCAGAGAAAAATACCAATGTGGAAGATGGTTACGTCACTCTGCGGAAGATATCATTTCGTATTAGGGGTGACAGCATAGGAAATTCAAGTACAATTACGACAAGAATCCATGACCACTCGGACCAAAGATCACTCGGTTCAAGACCAGTCGGACCAAGTGATAGACCACTCAGCCCAAACAAATAGACTACTCGGACCATACAAAAAGACTATTCGGACCCAACAGAAAGACGACTCGGACCAATAATAAAATGTTGTTTTAATAAATTGATAATTGCGTTTGTTTTAATATAATTACTCGAACCAATAATAAAGTGTTATTTTAATAAATTGATAATTGTGTTTATTTTAATATGACTACTCGAACCAATAATAAAGTGTTATTTGAATAAATTGATAATTGTGTGTGTTTTAATATGACTACTCGAACTAATAATAACGTGTTGTTTGAATAAATTGATAATTGTATTCCAAATCGCAAAATATCGAGAACCACACTTGTAGTCACGTTTAAAAAGGGGCATATAAACGTCCGGTCTTCGTATTATTATGTGCTGTTTATATTAACGCATCAAGGGCGGATAACTTGAAAACGTGTCTCCACCCCCCCCCCCCCCCACCCCCATATATAGTAACCCAGGGGTTAGTGGGGTAGAACGGAATGAAACCACTGGGGATACCGCGAATGTGGAAAAAGTAAAATTAGGCTATCAGACAAGAACAGTATACCCGTATATGTAGAAACTGTCAAAAGTCTGGACATACCGAGTCTCATTGCAAGAGTAAAGAAAAATTAGATTGATATTTTTTTTTGGCACCATTATTAATTAATTTTAAAACTAATCCTTGATTTATTTACGTACACAAAATTGAACCAAACAACTCTAAATATAAGAATTCCGTATAAGAATTATTTGCTTCTTTGTATTGTGATTTAATAATAAATAAATAGCATATTGTCTAGCCTTATAATATAATTTAATTGGTCCGACTGGTCTTGTTTTGGTCCGACTGGTCTTAGTCCGAGTAGTCTTTGGTCCGAGTGGTCTGGATACCTACGACAATTGGCATTGAGTTTGAGCGTTCGCACACATAACTACCCGCATTCCTGTATTTAGTTACCGTCTTTTACATTCTAGTAAAATCTCTGCAAATTTTATAGCTTTACTTTTTGAAATATTTTGTTCTAATTATTTGATTAGCGACTCGGATGGGATTATTTACTTTTGAACACGCATGCCGCACAAACACAACTATACATTCGTTTTACGGGCTTTATCACACTTCGGTCAAAACTGTCGAATCGAGAATTAATGTTCTTACGGGGTCATACGGGCTTAGTAGCATTATATACCATTATATATGTTACTGAAGCGGTTATTATTCGATCGAAAGAATGCGTATAAAATTAAAAATACACTCAGAGAATTCGGAGGTAAGCTTCATGATCCTTGTTAAATTATTTATAACATGAAGAAGATAGGATATTTATAGTTTATTCATGACTTTATTTTTACGAGTATCCGTGCAATCAGTGATATTTTAATTGTGAAGAAAATTTGATAGACTGGCGATCAATGGTTTCCATATAAATCTCCTATGTAATTGCCTTCAATTGATATTTTTCGTCGCCCAAACCCATATACGATCAAAATGATCGCGCTGTCAAACTATCTTTCAATGTTAACCAACCCCCGCAACAGGTATATTGGATTCGACCAATACGTCACGAAGACATTGTTGACATCGACTCAGTCGAAATTACAAGTAAATTTTCAAATTTTTCAAGAGAGAAATTGTTCTCATCGTTGTGATAATTAGTTGTGCAATGGATTTTATCGAACGGGAGTTCATTACAAACACACAGGTAAGTTTATAATAACCAAAGTTAAGTAGTTTGTTCATAATCGAAGAAATCCGTTTAAAATTTACGATGAATCAGACAGTAACTTTTTTCCTGCGACAAATTAAATTCTAAAACATTTTTTGCATATGTTGGAAAAATAAATAAAGGCGTTTGACGTATTTGTAGTTAAAAATTATTTCCGATTTAGTGTAAATGGGTATTAAAATGACTAAAATGCAGCATTCTCTCCGAAGCGGTTATGTCTTATGTAAACAATGCACGCGCCATTCAGCCAATGATTCACACCGCGTGCTGTGACAGCACGTGTTAAGGCAGTCATCTATGACAGAGATATTATACGAGACTCGTAATTCTCTGTGAAACAGATTGGGTAAATGCTAGGGAAAGCGGGGGTTTTCATCTTTTTCTCTTTAAAGAAAACGTAATCTTTAAAGTAGCTAAGTCTCTAACTCAATATCATCCAAAATCTTCAACATTGAAAACACGATTTATTTGTTAATTTAAATCAACATTGATGTTGTGATCTTACCGGGAAGAGATGGACTTTTGATATCCAATATTTAAGACAAAATAAACATTTTACCATTGGTACACGATTCGTGTAATGCGCTTCAGCCCCAGTTGTATCAAGAGACTCGAGGGACGAGGCTAGACACATTGCACCAAATCAAACGTAGTATGTAGACTGGAATAACCAGACGCTAGAAATTTGCACTCGCTTGAGACTGCTGGCTTATTTCGCCGAACATAACTGATTTGAAATTGGAGTAAAAACGAAAACCATTGAATGTAAATCAGTTTATATACATTCATATTACAGTATTATATGCGTTGCGACCCACTTTTGTCAATTTCTAGGTCCCAAATGTTAGCGATTTAGCTCCTTTAATGCCACTCTTGTTTTAAGTTGCATGTAGCATTCGTAATAAATTACCGATTTCAAATCATGTCTAAGTTATTATTTTTTTGTTTTAATGACGATATACTGCGTTGTAGCAGACGATTATGTCAAGCTCACACAGGGCCCAGTTGACCGCAGTACGCAAAAGCATTACAAAGATGCATTGCTGTATGAAGCCGATTTATATGTTTTGTTTTAATTTTACTGCAAACAATTAATAGATAACATCTGTTTGGTTGTAAAATGCCATGAAATAGAGCATAAGAGTAAATTGTAGAATGGGTAATTAGAGATGGTGACCTGCGGTTCCACAAAAGAATTATGCAAGACGATATTAAAATTTTTAAGCACGACCGTAGCACATCTAATAAAAAAGAGAACAAATAATAATCACGATGTATAGAATGCACCGAGTCCAGTTACATATTTTCATTCAACAGTTGTTCTCTGAACCAAATACTGAATTAGAAATTGATAAAATGGACACAAATATATCGTTCTTCTTCTTGGTTGCGGCAAGATAAACTGATTGGATTAAAATTTCACTGAGTGCCAAAAGCTGAGCCAAGACGATTTATGTGACTACAATTAACAGAAAAAACGGTTTTAAAAAATATTCACAGATTCAACTTGATCGTCGTTTTATTCTTTCTGTTATTCATATCCCATCAATCAAGAGAAAAATTTATAAAAATGGCTGAAGTTTTACCCCGTGCACCAAACAATTATTTTATCATTGGTAAGAGCCGTCTAAACGCGGGGAAATTTACAATAGCTATTGGCTAACAGCACGCATGCATAAACAATCTTATTTGCATATTGCATACTATCTATAGTATTATTAGCTGGAATTATTTTCAAGTCGACAGCCTCAAACAAAGACCAACATAGTATTAGTACCGTGTTTTGTGTCGAGTACGTAGGGTCGTGGCATGCAGTGCTATAGCAGACGATATATCAACCTCGCAAAGAACTGTCCAGTCGGCAATTGAATG